CAAGCGATTGTACGTTAACACTAAGTGGGTGATTACATACATAAACAACACAGTAAATCTGTGGGAAAATATTTAAATTTGATTTATTGTTTTATACATCACATATGCATACAAAAGCTTCACTCTTTCAGAAATATGTGGGATGTCATATCTTCTTTAATATGCTTCTTGCAGCATCAAAAAAACTTAAAAATTGACAAGGGATATAATTATTTTTCTGAAACCACAAACTTTTAGGAAACTAAAGGGGCACATTAAAGGTGCATTGGGTACTGTATGGACATAATGGGGGGGTTTAAATCGTCAACAGTTAAAGGTTTAATAACATTCCTGCATGAAAGAGAAAGTAACAGTAGATTCCATGTTTCCTTTCAAATATGCAAGGACAAACTAAAAATACATCCCACACTTTTAAATTACAAATATCACTGGATGAACAGTGAGAATTTTTCAGTAAAAAATATAAATATACTTGCACTGAACAATAGCTATATATTAAATTATGTATGAACATTTCTGTCTTCTGGGTTATTGCGCCGTGTAGTACGACCTCCGAAACAACCCAGAAGACAGAAATCTTCATACTCACCGCTGTGAAAACCTCAAATCTTACATAAATAATGTGTGATTCTTTTAAAGCTACAAAGTGTGACATCTGAAGAATGAATAATAATTTACTATCGATAAAAATAGCCATGATCAAACGGCCTCATAATGAACTTTCAAGTTCCATAAAGGTGGGGAATTTCTTGATGAACTCAGTAGCTGTCAACTTTACATATAGAAACACACAACACAGAAAACTGCAAATTGGAAGTGTTCACAATTATCTTGTCAAAAAATAAAAAAAAGAAGTAGGATGAGGTTTTCACTGCAGTGAATACAAATATGGCACTCTTCTGGGTTGTAATGCCTTGTAGTCTGATATAAACTTACAAACGTTTTAGAAGTCCTTGCTGCCTCCATCATCCGGATGACAAAGCCAGCATGGACCGCTGAAATGTTGAAAAACTTCTACTAGACTACGTGGTGTTATAGCCCATAACACGGTCATCGTAATACAAAAGCATCTACCGCCTTCACACTTCAATTAATTCAAACTTTTCAAACAAGTAGCGAATCTACTCGCATTGCAATGCGAGTCAGTCTACGTACGTATTCCAATATTCATTAAACATAATGGCAGAGATTATAAACTTACATTAAACTGAAGCCGGATTGTTGTTTGTTCCAGGAACACGACATTTTGCGTTTGCAGAGTAAAGGACGCAAACATGCCGAACGCTTTAATTCAGAACAGATACAAATTACATACTGTATATGATACAAGTAAAAACAGAACTTTTCAGGAACAGTATAACACTGGCAGTGCGTACAGGCACGCTTTCCGTACCTTGCACTGTGTAACGTTGCGTTTTTGATAAGACCTCGAAGTGAGCACGAGGTCTGTAACTCCCCTGCAGACCACCTCATAAATTTCCAACGCATATTTAGTATCACACGCATTTTCTGAAGCTGAAGTGACTGATACAAACAAAGGTGGTTGGCAAAGAGAGAGATGCAAATGGTGTCTGCTTCACACCTGTAGTAACTGAATACTTTATACATCAATTTTCTGAAGCCGATTAGCTCACAAGGGTATTGGATAGTAGACGCGTAGAAGCATGCAAGACTTGGCTGCCATCATTCGTCACCTTACTCCTTTCTCTCCCTCCGTAAACTTTAATCATGAAATAACTCTTCTGTCACATTAGAATCATCTATAGCAAAAAGTGTTATAAACGCTGGAATACATTTTCTTTTATGGAACCTGAAAGCCGACGGTTAACGATACCCATTGCAATATTTTCCATATTATTATTGAATTGTATACGTGATTTTATGATGCGATGCTAGATATAAATGCATACCATGTAAATTATGCATAAATAAATAATAAAAATTACACAAAAATATTTATTTATTTATTCCAGAGGTGTGTGCTACATTCTTTAGTAAGCATGGATGCACAGCCAAAAATGTCTGGAGACCACTGTTAGACACAGAAGAAAAAATCTGGACTCATTGAAGTTGAAAAGCATCTACTGTAGAGGCTAAAATTCTTGTAAAAATATCTGTTGCTTGCACATGTTGGCTAACTTATAATACAAACATTAACACTTTCCTCACAAAGATTTTGTAATACAGGACCCATTCCGTGCAAGAGGGTAAGACCATAAATACATGAATGTATTTCACTTAAAACATGTCTAACCGAACAAACTCCTTTAAAGAAAATTAATGTTTTCGGAAACAACCTCACCAAAGATACTTTAAGGACATAGGATGATAATTTAGATTTCGCTTTGCAACATATTTTATGCCTCTGAAAGGATCTCACGAGAACGATTTTCCAAGCGTACATTTAGCCAAGTTCTTAATACACGTTACATGTCCAAGATCTGTGACTTTCTTGATATGTCCGAGTTACTACCTCTCATTTATACAGCTTATCTCTCAACAATGTAAGAGTACTGTTTTCCACTTTTAATTAATTCATTAAATGCCTATGAAAGTTTATAGTTTCATCACAAACAACTTATATTATTGCTGCAAGAATATTTTATGGCCCACGGCCTCCTCAATTCTCCTCTTCCATTCGGTCCTCTGTTAGGTCCGTCTGTCCGAGGCTTTGATTGAGGTTTTGAGACATCTTCCTTTTTACGGTGCAAGGTTGTTAGCCTTGCGACCAACCCCCAACCTGGAGGACCAGGGTACCTGTCTTAGTCTGACCTCTCCCCCTCGACCAATACAGGATACGTTCCGGAGAGCCATAGAAGAGATGTCGTCAAATGTCATAGTTTTCACACGACATATATTTCAAACTATGCAGAGAAGCAGTATTAGTAAATCCTCCTAAAAAATTGGACCACAGTGCTAAGGCAGTTTAATCATACAAATTAAAACAATAATAATAACATGCCTCCGTTGTTGTACAGTGAAATATTTCTTTCAGACTCTTACGACTACAGCGTTGTGGTGGTACACGACTAGCCAAACCGGAGAACTTGCCACCAAAAAGAACGTGTCAGTACACTGTGAACAAGATTATTCAGTTTTCAAATTATTCATGCAAGTTTTTCTTCATATGAATGCAGACACATATAAACAATGTTTTTAACATCTTTTTTTGGTTTGTATCAGTCGTGGCGTACAGACTTCCATTCCAATGGTCACGATGGTGGACACCGGATGATACGCGTGCTTCAACTGTCTTAGAGAAAGTTCATTATGTTGTACTGTGCATCATGTGAAAATGAAACTTAAGAATTGCGGATCTGAAGTAAACTGGCCGAAAATCAAAGGACAATTAATTTTCTGACAGTAAAACAGAAGCTCAAGTCTCTTAAACAATTTGAGAGTGGAGAACTGGCAACAGAATTTGCCAAATGTTGTGGGGTAAGGATGTCCATGAAACGACACCACCGGGCTGAGCTTTTCAGATTTCTTACCAATGACGATGACTTCATGAAATTATAGAGGTATGATAAGTTTTAAAAACATCAATGAACAGATGTTGAAGAATGGCTACAATGATGAATGTGAAACGGACTTCCAACACATAACAGACAGACATTATCAACGCTGCTGTGAAAAAAGGGAGAAGATGCGAGAGAAGATGAAAGTGAAATCTGTACTGCTGTAAGGAGGAACATAAAAAGTTCACATAAATATGAATGTACCAAAAAATATGTATTTTCAATTATCCATTATTTGTATTTCATCCCCATCGATAGTCTGGATAATGAGGACTTTATTGTATTATAAATGCTGACTCAAATTATGCACTAGCATATTTCTCTTTAAGGTAAACGTCATCATACAGTAATTACAGGACTAGGGTCCTTCTCCGTTATTTATGCGTTGATGCAACAAACTGAATGATTTCTTACAAATATTGCAGGCATACAAGCACTGATAAATGTGAAGATGACTACGTATTCTCTCCGACTAGCTTCTTATATATATTGCAAGAATTGGTTTTGTTTGTAACATGCTTAAGGAATTGATGTTTCTGTAGATTATTCTCGTGTGCAAACGTTGTGTTACAACCACCGCATGAAAAATTACAAGCAGGTACGCACTGATGATTCTTGAGATCAGAATACAGACTGAATGCTTTCAAACACTGTGGGCACATATAAGGTGCAGTGTGATCCTTTATGTGTCTGTTCAGGAGGATCGACCATTTAAATGACTTCGTGCACACTTTACACACGTAGCGATCTTTTCTCAAACGCTTATTTCTACAACCCCCTAAATTAACGTACTTGGCAGATGAATTTTCACAAGAATATTGTTCCACACTTATATTCTTTTTGTATGCACAGTCATTTTTCGTTGTTTCACTACTTACTCGAACCTGGGATCTTGGCGGAATATCCATTTCTTCGCCCATAATTATCTGCAAAACAGTAAAATGAAACAGAAAATAGACAGTAAGTTTTCACAAAAACGAGATGCATATGAACATGTCTCACGTGATGTATATTAGAAGTTAAGATGCAGTAGTCGATTATGATTGTGAAATTCATAGTGAGTAACAAATGTGTATAAAGTAATCAGTATTTTAGGTAGGATTTGAGGGTTTCTCCGCGGCGAGGATAAAGATGGCTGACTTCTGGGTTGTTGCAGACTACACGGTGCAACGACCCAGAAGACAGCCATCTTCTAATCAGTTTTAAGTCAAATAAACATGAGTGTAAAATTAGCACCAACAACGCACCATGTAACGGAGTCCATTATGAGAAGCAACATTCACTTGGCTAGTCAAGAGACTTGCAACTTTCATGAAATCAAAATGTTCATCAGCCAGCACCTTAGGAATACCACGTTTTCTGATTAAAATTTTACAAGTACTTTTCACCTACCTCATTTATTTATTTTATTATGAGAATTACAAAAATTAACATTTATTATTATCCATAATGGCCAATGTTGTGTAGTGCGTCTACTGTAATAAAAAAACAGATAACTGGCTATGTGAAATGGCCATTATTAAATCTGTCGTAAGTAGTAAAGAACAAAAGAAGTAAAGGCGTCCTACTACATTCCATGTACGCGTTTGAGTGGTCAGTGTCACACCCAGGCCCTGCTTTACAACCCCGAGGAAGGCTGCTGGTACCCATTGGACAGGAGGCTGGGTGGGCCCCAGAGGGGAGAGGAAGAATCCTCTGCCCCCGTCGGGGATCAAACCCTGGTCATCCAGTCCATAATAAGTCACTATGCTGACTGACCTACTGTGGCTCACGTTGTAAGTACAACAAAAATTAAGTAACTTTCTTCAGAACTGAACTCTGTTCTTACATTTATTCACAGAACATGGGCTAGCAAATAAGTTACATAATTTGATACATGTAAAAAACACACACACAAAAAAATTAGGTGCAATGTGGTTAAATGTTAGACATGTGATTAATTAAAAGTAATACCTGCATTACAGAGGACTTCATCCGCTTAAACCGCCAAGGGTCCAAAACGTCGTAAGCACTGGTCAAAAATGTGTTATGTAAATACATGTTGTCTCTGTGTTAAACAGTCAATTTTGTGTGACCTCATAAGTAATTATTTTAGACTCAGTAGAAGATTTTTCTTTAAAAATACATCAAAACTGTTTTAAGTTTTTCATATCTGCAGAAAAGTTGAGAGTGTACTTTTAACAGGATCCAAATACACAAGAAATGTTAAAACTTAAAAAAAAAAAAAGGCAACGTGTTTCACAGTATATGAAAATGAACAGAACTCACCGTTCTTTTTTTAAGTACAGGAGATATTTCATCAACTCGCTGTAACATAATTCTAGGCACTCTTGTAGCTAGGGAATGCAGCAGCAACTGCTTTGGTAACGACAGCTGTTTGATGCTCATGACTGCTTTTGCGTTGCGGAAGTTGCCTGAAATGTAGAGGGCACAAGACATGCGAGGAATGACATATTTGTTTCTGAGACGAGATGCTAGGTACTGTAAGAAGCCATACTGGGATGGATCAAGGGCTGGCACATCTTTTGAGTATGCATGAGTCATTCTATGCCAAATCATCACATTCCTCAACTTAAGATTCCAATAAAAGTTGGTAAAATTGTAGACTCATTAAAAATTATATTCTTGCAAACATTTTGCATCCAATCCAACGCAGTTTCTGTGCTGGGGAGCAAAGTTCATAAACCTTTTTTTTTACATGCAGTCTCCACTAAAAATTACCATAACTTTTAAACTGTAGATATTACAGAGCTTATATTAGGCTTCTTTAAAAGTTAATGTAATGCTATTTCCAGAGATACACAGAGTGCAGTGCTAGAATGTGATGTATTAGACATTGCTGCTGTGGTGAAAGGTTGGAGTGCAGAACGTGAATGTAGTGCACACATGCTGAAAGTGAAAATGGTTTCATTCTGAATGTTTTGCTAATGTTTAAATTGGGGACAAAATCTGGAGATAATCACCACAAAATTAATTTTGATAACTATAAAAGGTGGTTCAAAATGAAGTTACTTCCAAACCTTCTGCAACATTCAGTATATGTGCTGGACAACACAGCTTACCACAATGTACACCTCAATCCGGCTCCAACTTCTTCATCTCAAAAAAGCACTATGATCAACTGGTTTTCAGATCGTGGCATTTCTTTTAGTGACTGAATGTGTAAGGGAAAATTGTATTATTTAATCAACCTACATAAGCTACAATTCAAAACATTCAAAATTGATGCTATGCTTGCTTAACATGGCCACTCTGTCCACATGCTGCTGTATCACCCTGATCTTAATCCAACCGAACTAATACAGACATCGGTCAAAGAATATGTCGCCAAAAAGAATATCAGTTTCCGTCTAGATGATGCTATGAAACTGGCCAACGAAGAGCTGGATATCATCACAAAGGAAGAATGGTGCTTAAGGTGCAACAGTGCCCACTGGTGTAAATAGAATTACCTGCAGCTGGAGCATATTATCAATGACATTTCAAAAGAAATTGTAGTTAACCTACAAAACGAGTGATGACATCAGTTGTAGCAGTAGTGAGGAAGAGAGAGAAATTGCAGAAGATGATGGGGGAATGAAGTGGTATAGAAGCTCTGTTACATGTTCACCAGCCACTACGGGTAATTCAACCTGTACTTTTGTTTATGTGCTTAGAGAAAGCTCCTACCTTACACTCGCCATCATCACTTGCAGACAGTGTTGCTACCCTGCCTCTCGCATCTCACGGCCCATATCCTGCCGATAAACGTCTCACAAATACACTCACTTTCCCTGATTTGCAAATTATTAAACTAACTCATATGTACCCAATGTTCGCCTCAGTCGTTTACGCCATTTTATCTGGGCCAGCCCCAGAATCTCCAAGGGGGTCGAGCATCACCAAAAACAGAACATATCCCCACACCATAAAAAAATCAATCAAAGCAATTCAAAATTCATGTCGTAGACCTCGAACCAGATCTACCCTGCCAAAATAAAAATTACCTGCATTCGCCGATGTCCACAACAACTATGGAGAACTTTCAAGCACAGATCATTCGCAAATAACCTTAATCCCACTACACTCTCTGTGCTTTGACTCGATGCCACAAAATGGCCAAACTCACGAAAAGGAAAGAATACTGGAACAGGTAACGATCTTCAGTGAATAAGCAATCGATGAATATGCAAACAGCTATTTCATTCTTCGGCACGAGATACTTGTCTTCTGCTCGAATAAATATCATGCATACTGCACTCCATTAGTTAATTCTAGACCAACATGGTCATGGCGTCACATATTTTACTGCCATCTAACGCTGAACAGTATAACTATTCCGGAGACTCGTAGGTCATCTAGAACTTTCCGTTTGTATTATTTGTGATTCATACATACATCTTTGTTACGTTCCACGGATCCAAAAGTTAGTTGTGTCAATAGGACGTGTAATATATATTCTTTTAAAAGTGATACACGGCTTGTCAAAAAATAGCCCATTTTATTCATGGAGTCCGGAGGTTCATCACCATGTTCACAAAAGCCCGCCAACTGGTTCTATCCTGAGCTACCTGCATCCAATTCACTCCATCGATTCCTGTCTCCCTAAGATCCGTCTTAACGTTATCCTACCCAGCGGTCTATTCCCTTCAGGCCTACCAACCAATACCTTGTAAAGAACCCTCCCCCTCAATGCGTGCCACATGTGTCGCCCACCTCATTTTGGATTTAATCACCCTCAAAATATCAGGTGAGGAGTACAGGCTGTGAATTTCATTATGTAATTTTCTCCATGATTCGTCTTCCTCCCTTCTAGGTCCAAATATCTTCCTCAACACTCTGAACTCTTACACCCTCAATCTATGTTCCTCCTTCAAAAGGAGCAACTAAGTTTCACACCCATACAGTACAACTGGCAAAATTACACTTTTGTATATTTAAACCTTTAGTTCGTCTTAAGTGAGATGGGAGGACAAATAATTTTGGACTGAATGATAGCAAACATTCCCTGAATTTAATCTGTTCTTAATGTCATCATGAATGTCATTCTGACTTATGAGTGTCATCCCCAAGTACTTGAATTCTGTCACATTTTTGAACGATTCTTTACATTTAGGTTACGTCCCTAATTCTGATTCCAAGCCAAGATCATGTACTTTGCCTTTCTGCATTTATTTCTAGATCAACATCCATACTAGCCCTTAAGAGTGTTTCTGTGTTCACTTTTAAAGTATTTACATTGTCGTTCAACAGATTAATATCATCGGCAGAGAACAAAAGCTGATGTGTCCCACTGACAGCAGAGCATCTCCGTTTCAGGCAATTTTGAACAGGGAATATATCATACAAATGTTTGCTTACACAAATTTTGCTGAAGGTTTCACTTATACGCATTTTAATTAGCCTGATGAGCTTTTAGGTACACCAAATTCAAGCAAAATATTGTAAAGGGCTTCTCTTTTAAGTGAGTCATAAGTCTTCATCACACCCACCAGTGAACACAGTCTCAGAAACAGCATTAAGTTCTCGTGCACTCATATTGTCTGTCATCCCACCATTATCTTCATCTGAAAGAAATATGTGGTGTTTACAGTTCTAGAAGTACTCTGTATACAATGAATTCTTCTTGGGCTACCAGCTGTGTCAGCAGGTTGGAACGCAAGGAACCATCTTTGTCCTCATCCTCAGTGTACTTGGTCGTCATGAAAGCTTCAGATCATACATGCTGCATACTCCTGAAAATTGCAGGAACAAATTCCCAAGCAAAATCTTCAGCTGTGGAAGCCTAGTATGATCATATGGTAACAGATTATACTTGATACTTGGACGATCCGTTCTGAACTCTGCGGGTCCCCAACTTTTCGTTTGGCTTTGATCTATTAGACATTCGGTAGGATTCCTTGGACGAGGGATCGGCCCGTCGCAAGGCCTCTACCTGTACACAGGACAGCACGACACAGAAAAATGCAGACAGACATCCATGGCTCGAGTGAGATTCGAACCCACGGTCCCAGCGACCAAGCGGCACAGGGCCCACGCCTCAGACCGCGCGGCCACTTAGACGGCAACATATCATAGTACATGATTTTTACTCACAGTAGTAGAGAATTTAAATGTCCGTTCTTTCTTTGTACTGTACGCTGAATCATTTTTTATGAAAATCAGAAGTAGGAAATGCATATCAACAACAGTACTTACAAGACTGTATCTTACCTTCTGGAGATCACACTGATTACTGCTCCACAAAATATTATTCGTCAAATTTCCTGCATGTCAGGAGATCCTCACAATGTTCAATCTGGCTTCTTAAAGGAAGTTTTCTTGTGGTTTAAAATGCATGTGCACAGTGTGACAATATGGCCACACTAAGCTTTAATGGGTTTCATCAGTGTATTTTAGTACAAACTCAAAATATCAAATTTCATTACAAAACAGTTCTTTTTGTAGCAGACAAGTACACTAGACCAAATTAGGTTATCACACATTATCAATAAATATGCCTTAAAACAGACGGAGAAAGTTACTCTATTCTCTACATCAACGCCACCTGTGATGTATCAACGTTTATTTCAATAAACAAATAACACAGTACAAGCAACACAATTAACATGTTAACACCTGGCAATCACAGCACAGTTGCCTGGGTGCGAACCGTACTAAGCTAAAAGTACATCATCTCTCTTTCTTGTTATACAGACTTAAAATGTAAAATTACAACATAAAAATTTTCATGAGTAAATGTTATCTTCTGATAACACTGGTTAACACGTAAAATGTTATGTAAACGAAACTAACCGATCTTGACTAATTTTAGGCTGCTGAACACGAAAATCACATTAAAATTTGTTGATTGACTCCTGTTTTCGAATTACGATTTGGGTCTCATATTAGCGAGTTACTCTTCATTATGTGATAAGTTGTTGCCGCCTCAAATGCATCTTCAACTCTTGCAGTATTCCTCGAATCCGGCCAGGTACTGGGTGACTTATTCTCAGTTAACGGTTCTCTGTGAGATTCCTACTTCTTGCTCAGTATTTGTATCGTGTACGATGAATATGCCCCGTAATTGTGTGAATAGTCCGGATAACTTCTGTTACGTCTGCTTCAAGAAAGTGTACGTTAACTCAAGACACAAAAAGGGCTTACGAATTGTACTTTGGGTGTAAAGTAGGCGACCAGGACAAGAACTGGTCTCCACACGTATGCTGCACTACTTGCTCATCAAACCTCAATGCGTTGGTGAATCGAAAGGGACGTTCTGTGTCTTTCGCAGTGCCCATGGTATGGAGGGAGCCACCAAATCACATCACAGACTGTTACTTCTGTACGGTGCCTCGTATTCGAAAAGGGGTGACAATGAATAAAAAGTGGACAGTGACGTACCCAAATATACCATCTGCAATTCACTCCGTGTCTCACCTATTCCTGAACCACCCGAAAGTTTATCAGTAGACTCTGATGAAGATGAAGACACTGATGATGATCATGTTGAGCTTATATACACGAAGAATTACAGCACAGAAAGTGAACTTGATGACCTCATCAGGTATCCCGAACTGCCGAAGAATAAGGCAGAGCCTTTGGCCCCGAGGCTAGAACAGTGGAATCTTCTAGATTATTCTGTGAAAGTGACATTTCGTACTCAAAATAAAGTTTGTGGTAAATTATATCAAACAGAAGGTGAACTCATTGACATCTTCTGGAAAACTGGGGTGTAACGTGTCATTTAAGATGCATTTCTTGCACTCACACCTGGATTTCTTCCTGTCAAACTGTGGTGCTGTCAGCGACGAACATGGTGAGCGCTTCCATCAAGACATCTCAGCGATGGAGCAAAGAAACAAAAGCAAATGGAGTGCTGCCATGTTAGCCTTTCTTTTTTGGATGCTGAAAAGGGGTGCTCTAGTAGCTAAATACAAGCGAAAGGAGCAGTGTTTGACAAAGGTATATTTGTAGTTATATCTTACTGCCATATAACTAAAAAATATCTTGTATAAATATGACAAACTAGTTTTTTTTTTAAAACAAGAGCCAATCTGTCAATTTGACCACTATTTCCATGTTTAGCACCCCAAAATCTATGAAGTAAACTTACTTTCATGCCCATAACAAGAAATTACCCAAAATTTGTTGCACAGTGTCATCACTTTGAATATAAATTAAAATAACAGTGTACATACATATTCATTTCATTTGACTAGTATTTTTGATTAGAAATTAGAAACAGGTGACATCTTTAAGATCCACACATTCATAGAGAATTTCACAGAAAGGATTATCACAATCAACTTTCACAGACAGTGCTAAAATATATTACATAATTCTCTCATATACGCTGTACGCATTAATTAAAATCGAGCTGCAAGCAGTCATGTATACTCAAGGGAATCATAGTAATGACATGCGGAATGAGGTTTAGATTTTTCTTTGATTTTTCCACTATGGTTTCTAAATAATCAGTTAAAATCCCTGGTAGCAGAACCCACAAGTCCAACACCGACAACACCAAAGCCCACCACCAGACACGATCCTGAGCCAACTCCAATTTACCAAATCCGATACCTCAGCTAAAAAAGTGGAATTTAGATACAAATAAACTTTTCATTTGACACTTGAAAGTTATGTAGATTAATAACAAATTTTAATAGTGTTATCGTTCACGCGAGTAATGGTGGCTTCTAAATACGCGGTGTGTAAGCCGGGAGAGGGGAGTTCAGTAGTAGTGGGGGTCGCACCGATCTAAACACAGCTAGAGCTACAAACCAACTGAAGCTGACACCCCTCTAGCGTGTGCTTTGGACGAGTCCATCTCTTACGACAAAAATCAGTCCTTTGCGCAGGTGACACCACTTCTCGCTCGGCCTCTAAATCAAGATTTTGCTTTCTGTTTTACATGTCCAGGATTCAAGTTCCTGCCACCATCTGCTTCACTAGAGGTGAACCATAATTTAGAATAACTGTTTGTAACAACTAGAGCCTGTCGCTTGGACAGTACAATTTGGAACGCAGCATTCCGTAAATCAGAACCATGAACTTTACAGATGTTTAGACAAAATCAGTAATTATGGTTAAACTCTCTTAATATTTAAGCTTCAAGGTTCATATTTAGTTGGCACTTTGAAGGGTATAAGCACCTAATGTAAAGAAAATATCTGTGTCAGCGGAATATACGTACATATATATATAAATTAATTACATACATACACGCACACATTTATATACATATACACACAACACACGTGCGGAGTTGGCATTTTAAAATATTAGTTACATCCTCAAACTTTGGAATACAATAAATGAACATCTTCAGAATGATCACTTTTTGACAGAAATTTAAATTAAATTACTTAAATGGAATCACGGCAACTGTTTACGGTTTAGCGCGATCTCCTTTCGCTATATTAGAGCAATAATTCACAAATTATTTAACATAAGTTATTAAAGTAAATAAATATGAACAAAAAACATAACAATAGATATATCACAACAATTATGTCTTTCTACTAAGAAATCTAATACCTTCACGAACGGTGCTGCAATCCTCGTAATGCCACGTGAACACCAGAGTCCTGGCAGCTGTTAGGCATCGACAGTGTTCCAGAAGAATATCATTCATTCACGTGAAAGTAACTGATTTGTACTTAACATGTTGATCATGCACTTGTCAGTTGTTCATGTTCTCTGCCGTCAATGTTAAGGTTGTCAGTACACTCCTTCTGTTTGGATTCACACCCAAATTCTCCCAGTTAATCCACGACAACCGTGCAGTCAGATCTGACAATGAAATAAATCAGTATTTATTGTCTTCAGACTTATCTTTGTAAATGCAGATGACTTATTCATAGATATTTATACCTGTCATGCAAAAACATCTCCCAGCTTTGTTGACAATTAAAAATAAACAGGCTTGTCATTTCCTACACATTTTAATGTGTCACAGCACAGGCTCACAGATAATATGTGTCCGGCATAAAAGCGTAACACTAAACACTAACAGACTATTTATTCACAGTATTTAAAATTCAGAGTTAATTACATCCTCTTCACACTTCGGCATAAGTGAGGAACACGTTATGGGTCCGTCCATGTCTGTCTGTGTGTCATGTCTTTCAGTCACCCAAGAAACTAGGCAACCCCCTGGGGGTTCTGCAAGGAGCCAAGGTAAAAACAGGGGTTAGCACTCCCAGCTATTTTACACCCCCAAGGCTTCTACCCCTGGGGTGTTCCAGCATCTTGCTCCCTTAAGATTACCTCACTTTGTTCACATGACCTGCTCTCTGTAGCTTCCCCATCACCAGGGCCTTGCACTTGGTAAGTTCTGAAGCACCAGAACTACCCCAGAGTGGCTTGGCGACCCATGGGACTAGGCCTCCTGTGGACCTGCAACCCTTGTGAGAATCCCACGGTCCATGGGGTTGGCACCTCCCAGACTTCACCACTCCGGCCTTTCCCAAACATTCGCTCTCCTATGGGCCTACATCCCTACGCTTGCTGTTCCAGGAGCTTTATCGCCCCCAAACTTCCTACCCCCTCCCACAGGTTTTCAAAATTATTAGCTCTAATCTCACTGGCCTTGAGCACCTAAAGGCTTTAACTGTCATGCATCCCCGGGACTAGACCAAAGGGGCTTGTCCACCGAATGGGCTGCACCACCTCTGGGGCCCTCTGTCTCTGAGAACTCCCTAGGGCTTTCTTCACGATCTTGTTTCAGCCCAGATCGTGTTGACACTTATCGGTGGGCCTAGGAATAACATCTGCAGTCAGTAACTCGGGAACGTCTGGACGCATGTTTTTACAATTTCGGTGGTCTTGCAGTTATAGGTTAGATTAAACTTATGCTTCTAGTTTTCCTGAAATCGGTAATGAAACGTCAGGGATATTCAATGTCGTGTGGTGGAACGGTTAAAATTTCTACGTCATGATCCTCTGCGCATGCACAGTAACATCATATTGTTAAAACAGTGAACTTATTATCACAATAACACAAAAATTACCTCAGACAGCACTGTTGCCTTTATAACCATCATGGCACTTAGTTCCTTAGCTGTCCTAGTAACGCCATCGAAGATAATGACGTCATTGCTACTGATGTCCATCTGTACACGTGTAATAACTCAAGAATGACCAGACGGATTATGAAATTTTCCATCTTACTCCACGACGTCTTCGCGCGTGCTGACGCCAACACGGAATTTTGATGTATAACCCGTTGTTATTATTCGTCATCCCCCCCAATACACACATATTATATATATATAGCATATGATTAACAGAACAAATTGTGCACTTTTACACCGAAATTCTCGTAAACATTCTCCTCAACTAAACAACTGGCCGTCTCTCGCCACTGCCTGTGAGATACTTACCGCTTGTATTCCACTCAGCGCGCTCGGCTGCCTTGATCTCTCCGCGCAGGCATTTCTCCACGTACGTGAGTGGATCGTAGTCGGCCGTGAGAACCTCGCGGAGCAAAGCGATGTAAGCAATGGCCAAGCGTAGTGTGTCGATCTTTGACAGACGCTTCTCGTAGGGGAACGTGGGGACATGAACCCGCAGCTCGTCGAAGGCCGAGTTGATGCTGCTGAAACGATAACCACCCACCCCGCGCCCCACACGTTACAACAATGAAGATGTATTTCTTTTTTTCGAAGTTTTTTGGTGTCATTAAACCGGGAAAGATTATCATGAAGGCTCACTCAGTTCTGTTACTACGCGTTTTATATTGCACTGCACATGCGCAGTGCGATCGAGCACATGGCAACTGGTTACAAAGAACAGTAGAAAAGAAGTCAGGGGAGATATTATTCGTTGTTTATTCAACTGAATCAGCTATTTTTATGACGCATAATTTTTCAAGAATGCAACAATCGCGTTATAGCAGAACTGGTTGTAAGTCTCCGTAGCATATTCAACAAAGATACATTACAATTCTATCCTCCTCGCTGCAACCTAACCTAAAACAAAATAGGCCTGCCCAATCCTTTATGTTGTGCGGGCAACTTAGACAGAATTTGATCTGTATGCGGGCAACATGAAGTTCAATACATATAATTTGGTACATATAATAATATATATACCTTTATCTGCGTATTTCCTGTACATTACATATAATAAAAATATATTGATAATAATGTGAAAAATTTGTAAAAAAAAAATGCAATTCACAACCTAGGCTAGGGTATGTTTATTTTAACACACTTTTACAAAATGAATTAGTAATGTAATGTATCTCTCCATTAATAAAAAGTTCATAACCTTTTAAAAATATTATTACATTGATATTAACATGGGTGTGATCTTTTACACAGTAAGACTGGCAAATCCTTAACTAGCTACAGGTTGGGTGGGCCTGTCTCGAAAGATCTTTGTCGCATAACTACGTACAAAAAATTCTTATTTTCACTTTGTTAATCACAGAAGTAAGTCTATATTTAATGACAACAATTATTATAATAAAAGTTGTGATAATGGAGGAAATGATGATGGTGGTGATGACATAATCATTATTAATAACAATAAGAGTTCTAGCAATGGAAATGTATATTCTTTGGAGTATATTCTACCGAAATTAGAAAGGTATTCTTCACGTCATATGGTGGTTGATAACTTCAGTGGCCCAACAAAGGTAATATCAATTAAACAATTATATATAAGGCAACGACATTTTTCCAACAGTGCTAACAATTAATTATTGCAACAATGACCTCGGTTCACTCTGTTGAAACCTGGATGGTGTTAGCTCAGAGTTGTCCAAGTCCGTGGGCCAAAGGCAATGGATTGTCTAATCATGCTGGGAATAATGTGAATGTTAAAGCCCCGAGAGGCCGAAAGATCGGCCGAGGTCACCAGTGGGATGCATTATTTGAGGAATACCCAGGGGCGATTTCCGGGAAATCGCCCTGATGATAGAGGTAGAAGGGACCTCCGAAACGTCGGTAAATTTTACTAGACGACACGAAGCAGCAACCCTGAAGACAGCCAACTTCAGTCTCACAGCCGTGAAAACCTCAAATCCTTCATGATGATGTTGATAATTATAATAATAATAATGGAAAACAACAATATTAGAAGTAGGCCTGCACTAAAATTCCAAAGGTATTCCTCACGCCACACATCACAGGTAAGTTGAAATTATCACAGATGATGATGTCACTAAGTACAATTACCGTAACGCGACTGACGGCAGAATCACGCATCCATGCATAGAGGATCATGGGTAATGTGGACATCATTTTCTCACCTCACATATTTAATAATCCGATTCGTTTATATTAATGACTAAATGAAAGTACAAAGTACGATTTTAGACTAGAAACCAATGGCATAACGTCCATACCAAATTCCATAAAAATTCCTCAAGCCAGTCTCGACTTATTGGATGAAAACAGAAGCACATCGCGGGCGATAAGGTTATCAGGAAAATCACAGGAATAATAAGTTCAACAATGTTAGCCAAGGTCATTGTTGTAACAGTCTGATTAAATATCGGGTCATCCCGTTGTGTTCGCATCGATCTTATAGATGTATTGTTACAGTCCAGAAATTCTACAGCCCTGACAAGGGATTGTAGTGTGTGAAACCCTTATCGTTAGACTACGGAAGAATGCTGTTCAATAGAAATTACAGAATGTCTACTTGGAAAGAAATTATATTTTCCCGAGTGTGGGTAACAGGAAACTATTGTGTAAATTCCATAAGTGGTTACCCCTCCCCCCGGAGCCTCACATTTTGACTGGTGGTCGCTCGTGTGTGTGGGGGGCCGGGGGGCGGGGGGCAGGTGCCGACCTCAGCATCCTCTTGCGTTCCCGGATGTTCGCTGCGTGGCGCTGGATACGGTAAGGGCTGCCGCTCGGGTAGTACTCTGTTCCATCGGCTGCACTTCCGCCCAGATCGCCGGCCTGCTCATCTGCAAAAGAAAATCCACGAGCTCGATTAGCCCGCGGAACGTCCGGTGCGCATGCGCGAAGTAGAGGAGATTCCCATTGTATGAGTCTACTTCGGGTTGACAGTGCTGGTCTCTGTTGGTGCCTGAAGCAGTGAGGGCTGAGTTGTCAATTGTTTCCCAGCCGAAAATGGAGGAATCAAAGAGAATGGACTACTTTTTCATCCCAATTTAAATCCTATGGAACTTGAGAGATCAAGACGCCGAGAGTTCCGTCCGCCAGGACATCGCTCGCTGAAATCTTCATCGTTTCTTGTACACAACTATTTGGAACATGTCGTTTAGTCCAACACCTTTAATGTCTCCCATCATCGGCGCATTAACCTTCATTGCGCGCATGCGCGTAGTCTTATCACGAGATGGCGACCATAGATGTTTATTGCGACTCGCTAAAATCACGCAGATTTACCTGACCTGAAAAAAATGACCTTGGAAGGAGCTGAAGTCGGTACAGTGACGAATCCTGGTCGAGAAATAAGGCCTCGTGCAATACAACAGTAGGATAATACAGTGGTTTCAGAGGTCCTTGGTGCTTCCATCATCAGGGATACATCGCCCTGATGATGGATGCAGCAAGGACCTCTGAAACATCGATAAACTTCTACCAGACTGATTTCCACTAAAATCTCTTCCAGCTGACTTTTGGATATCGCATGTAAAATTAATTTAAAAGAACGAGCAGGAATATTTACGATGACATTCGATAAATTCGACCGTACACATCGATCATTTAATTAATACGGAGAGTGGAAAATAATAAATTTGGTAAGATCCGGTAAAATTTGACCTAAAGTCAAGGCAGACCGTCTCGGGCCCGATTTGAACACGGGACCTCCCGAGCACGAAGCAGGACAGTTAATCTAACGTTCCGGAGGTTTGCAATGGTCTATCGTTCATACAAGACTATGAGTTGTATCGATTGTCAATTCATCATGTGAATTCAATCGATTTATATATCTGTGTACATTAACTACAAATTTTAGAATCTGACAACCCTAGAAGACGAAATGTAAACTTTCGTAATTTTCCGTTCAAAACCAGAACGTAAATGTATAAAATATTGTTCTTATTACACCAATCACCCTCGGAGCACCGTACACAGTTCTTATTGTTCTTATTACACCAATCACCCTCAGACCACCGTACACAGGTCTGTCCCATCTTGTGGATTGTTTTTTAATCCGACACGTGACCCTGGATGTATTTCGGGCTATAGAAAGAAGCGGGAAGTCTTTTTTCATAAGTTGGTATGAATGCACAGACAGTCGAAGTGAACTGCGAGGTAACATAACCTCAAACTTATCATAATGTCAGTACAGCTGATTAGGTGATGGCACAAAGGGTCAGATATCGACATAAGACGTTCTTGCCCTCTTGTCTGTGACACCAAAACAAAACACATGAGGGCACGCGTAATGCAATAGCCTTCCTTTGTCTCAACCCGCCTCGCGTTGTTCTTTTGTCTGTTTTCACATCTTGCCTCCAGGTTCTTATTAACTTCGCGTACAGTTGGTACGTTTAAAATGTTAAATAATATTTTTAAATTGTTTTTTAAAAAAAAATCAATATATCCTACATGAATTGTGACAACTTTTCGAAACATGCTTGTCGTTTATACAACTTTTAGGAATTTATATCCCTTTAAACCTGTTTCTCGAATTATAATCATCAGTCTTCTACACAGGGGCACACTAGAATGATGTTCGCGAACACCACAGGGGTGTACAAATGTTACAAACAAGGCATGAGGCATCATATTTGGCACAAAAATCAGTGTCGATTAAAACTATTCTCGAAATTAAAATTCTAGTACGTTTTAATTCCTACAAACATTTGTCGTCATTGTATTTTCTCTCACTGTCATGATTATTATCTTCAATATTCTTCGATTTAAATATATTTTTTGAACCCTTATTCTACAGTTGTCTGTTTAATGTGAATTGGCATCGTTTACAGGCGCTAAAAAGTTTGTTTTACTTTTCTGTATTTTTAATTTCAAACATAATATGAGCTGAAAATGTGTTATTTGCGGGATAAGAACAGGAAAGCTTCATTGTATTACACCACCAGGTGGATGGTTGTAGGTAGTGACGGCGAAGCCACTGTTCATTGATTTTAATGGTCCATGGCGTAATGTTCGAACAGAAAAAATTCTTTATGGTAAGTTTTCAGTTTGCTTATACAATGACGCGTTATCAAGTATATGAGATGATAGCTTGTACACAAATTAAAATTCTGGATATTTATGTTTTGCAAAGAGGATTAGATTATGTTTTATTTTTTTTAGTGTTCTGTCTGACGACAGGTCCATATGAACAGGATCCTTCCATCCTTTTCTCGGACTGGGACCTGTTCATATACGTTCTTGGCAGATGATCCAGAAGGGGTTTGCCATTGCCTTCTTCTGGGTGTGAATGGAGTAATTGTTGGGATGCAACGGA